ATCCTTAAGTCTGAGAACAAGGGAGCTCCGTGGTGTGCATCTTCGAGAAATTACGGAGTCAAACCAAATTGGGCTGCATTTGATTAGTAGCGAAACTGCATTACCGCAGCATGACGAAGGTATTGCAAAGTTGGAAACCAAGTATTAAGTATAAGACTGTTCAAATCTTTATACTCTGATATTTTTAATGTTTGAATAAAAAGACTTCAATTTTCGTAATTCTGAAAACTTCCAAAGAATCCTCTTGCCCTTATTACCATGCTTGAATTCGTCATGAGTCCTTGATTGCGCTTATTATGAAATTGAGTTGAGAAATAGACATAGTTTTGATAAGAAACCCGTCTGTCTTTCCAGCGTAGGCGCTGCGTGCTATGCAATTATCTTGCGCGCACCATTTGTGAAAGTTCTTATTCTATAATTTAACATTCATCTTTCTTTCAACAACCAAAATGCGATAAAAGCATTTAACTTTTAGCAAATCCTAAAGAAATTCTCCTCAACTTCTTTCATCCGCATAAAGCTGAAGAGATAAGGATTAGTAATATGCTGCTCGGAGATTGCAGTAGGTGGCTCATACGGATTAGATACGATTTCCGCCTTTATTCTGAAATGTTCCCAAAAATCTTTCATTCTGATCTTCGAAACTAGGCTCCTATCACGCTCCAAAAGAAATCTGCATACTACCTCAGCGGTACTAGGTGCGGTTCATGCTTCAGATGGCCTTTACCGTTCCTACGACTACTCAGGTAACGTAATTTATAATAAGCCTCTCTGTGAATATTTTTGCTTTGGTTGTTGATTTGTATCTTTTTAAGAGACGAAGTGTTTGGGTTGAATTGCAAGTGTTTTAGAAGGGCCCTTTACACGGTGAAAACCCAAATTGTAGCCAATGGAGTTAATTAACACCTTGCTCTAGCGTCGAAAGCGCTGATGGAAGGCCGATGAGACAACCGAATTTGGGTATGGGCATTGCATCTCTCACATCACAGAAACAATTGTGCATGTGCTACAGAGAAATATAAGAATTGCTTTGATTCAACAGATTTGTTCCATAGTGGAGCAACGCTAGCCAAAGACAACGTTAGAGGAATCAAATCTTATGAAATGGTGTTCTGACTTTGGAAAACGTTTACCTTGCAGAAGTTGATCTCGGTATTCATCGACCTCTTCACATGATGTATGTAGTTGTAGACCATGGGCAAAGTGATGCATATGGAGAGCACGGCAACCACTGAGAATGCGACGGCCGAGTAGGCAACGAAGCGGTAAGCCGCCAGTCGATGCCCTGACTCGCACTCCATTCTGCGAGTGTCGACTGTGCTCCCTCGAACCAACCTCGCTTTTATACAGCTTATCTGGAGGCCCGTGCCACGCCTACTCGTTAATTTCTTCGTCGTTCCTCTCTGCTTTTCCTGTGTCAATCTCAGCTGACTAAGAGTATTACTGGTTGCACTTAATCGCAATTCCTCAATGACCTCTGCTACTTCTTTTATCTTAGAAAAAATGGTTTCACCCTTCGTGGACAGAAGAATTCTCGGCGATCTTTTTGCAAAGAAATAAAGCGATTGTATCTAAATTTTACGGCCAACTGTTCGCTATTGTAAAAACTAACAGAATTACTAATTTCTACTACTTACGAAGTTGAGTAAACTTTACTTTGAGTGTATCGCTTATAGAATCAATGCTAAAGTAGGGGTAAGTCAACATGCCAATCCTCAAATTATAAGCAATTATGCTTCTTTTATGCCACTGCTACGGTAATTGCCCATGTTGTAGGAAGGCTATGATACATTAGTTGTAATCGAATGACAGTGAGCAAACCTCGTCTCACGGCATTTCCAATAAAGTAACGTCCTTCAATCGCCATATGTGATTGTAGGAGCTTCTAAAATTCACGTAAA